TTTCTCTCTGACCATGAAGTTTGTGGTCCTTTATTTATTTATCGTCAAGAGAAGAGTAAGAGATCGAGGTGGGGAAAAAACGTCAAGTTGAAATATTGTACGGTTCACGAGTTATCAAGCCGACTTCTGACAAACAAACTAAAAAAAATAAGATACTTTTTTCCACTTCTCAATTTTTATTCTTATATTCGAAAATTAATTAATTAATTATATCACATTTTTAGTATAAAATGCAACTCATTTCGATTTTCAGAGTGCAAAAAATTACTAAAGGCAAATATTTCAAAACTTATTTTTGAATTATTTTTCTAATTAAATTTTTGAAATATACAATTAAACAGATTTTGAATAATTGAAATCATGCAAACTTTAATTGAAAAGAATTAATTTTTTTCAAGTATTTTATTAAAATTTTTTAAGATCAACTTTTAAAGAATTTTAATTGTAAATTTTGAAAACAATTGTATTCTCGAAAATTTTAATGAAAATAAAATTGTATAATTATATATTGTATTGTGTAAATTTAAAAATGAAAATCAATGAAAATTAGCTTCTAAAAATTATATTGAAATATTATTGAAAAATGTAATTCTTAGAATTTTTTTAAATTAAATGATTTTCAATATTTTCAGTTACATATTTTCGAAAATATTCAAATATAAGTAAAAAAAAATAATACAAACATGTAATTTTTTTACAATTATTTTTAACATTTTGAAGAAAACAATCATGGTCAAAATGTTTAATTAAAATTCATCAAAAAATTAATCGGTTTTCTTTAAATTATACAAAAATTCTTTTAAGAATTTAAATTATTTTCGAGAAATCACATTACAATATTTTTTAAAAACTAATTCTTAGAAGTGTTTTATCATAATTTTGTAAGATTCAATTATCTTCGAATAAAGTAAATAATAAAATTTATAAAAATTTACTTTTTTGGACTTCTTAAAATTTAGGAGAAATCATGTTCATATTTATAATTAAACTTTAGTTTAAAAATTAAATTAAAATTAAAGTAAATTTAAAATTCTTCATAATTTGATTATTTTTTTGTATAATTTTCAAAAATTCAATTATTTTTAGAAGATTATACCTACCAAATTTCAACTATTTTTAAAAGATAATTAATTTAATTAATTAATTAAATTTATTTGTAAATATGATTCGGATAATTGCTAACTTCTTTTACCTTTAATATTTTTAAAAGATTTTATCAAATTTCAGTTATTTGGAAATTTTATTATAATTTTTAGTAATTATAATAATATAGGTAATAACCTTAATTTAGAGAAGAAGTTTACTTATAAAAATAGAAAATAATTGAATTTTGGAAGGGAAGTTGTAATTATTAGAAATTATTAAATTTCAGAAGATGTTAAATTCAAATTGTTAAAATTTTATTTTCCATTGGAAAACAAATAAGTATTTAAATATTTATTTATCAAAAATTATTCAAGTTTTTAATAATTGAATTTAGAAATCAGTGGAAGTTCAGGAAAATAAAAAATAAAAGTTTTCTGACAACATTAAATTAAATAATCGACTAAAGCGACTTTTTTCGCGCCTTAAAGTCGATCCAAGGCCTAAATTAAAAATAGAATCAATTTCTCAAAACAAAAATTAAAAAATAAAATTATTTTTCAAAACAAAAATTAAAAATAAAATTAATTTCTCAAAACAAAAATTAAAAATAAAATTATTTTTCAAAACGAAATAGAATTAATTTGTCATAACGAAAATTAAAAATAAAATCATATCACAAAGAATTATTCTATAAAAAAATTCTTATAAAACGAAACACTAAGAAGCTACTTCTCGTCAAAAAGGACAGACTTATGAATAGCTTTTCACTTGAAACGCACCATGATAACGCTTTGAAGACACCGAGTCTCGGGCTACTATTGTGTCAAGTCCTTTTTCTCAAAAGAGAAGAACTCCACTCTTTCTGTACCGAAAAATTAATTATACCCATCTGTATAGTTGAAGTAGAAAACGAGTAGTGGGTGGAGGGAGGGCGGGTGGGTGGTGGTGGTGGAAAAAAAGAGCATAACTCCAAGAGATAGAAATGGGGTCTGACAAAATGTCGACAAGTGTTTACCGTCAGTGTCGTTACAAACCAGATTAATAGCTAGGTAAGCTTCGTTTCGTGGCAATGAACCTTTTCGTTTTAACCCTTGACGAAGCGGAAGGTTGTAATTAACGTCAGAGTTTAACGACGCGAAGCATCGTTGAGAAACTCCGGGGAAAATTGTTTGTATTGCCCCCCTGTCACATTGTCGAATCATCGTCTAATTCTCTCAATTCTCTTCAATTTCAAATGGAAAATTAAATTTCAAAAAAATTCTTTTCTTTGAAAATTTACAACGAAAATTCTAAGGGGTCTACCATAAATTACCTATGGCTACTCCCCCCACCCCCTTATAGCCTTACGTAATTTATGGTTGTATTCTATTTTCAAATTTTAATTTCTTTTGTTCTAAGGGGCCTTACGTTATTCATGATTGTTTTCTATTTTTAAATTTTAATTTCTTTTGTTCTAAGGGGTCATACATAAATTACGTAAGACTATAAGGGGGGAGGGTTGTTGTTTTCTATTTTAAAATTTTTATTTCTTTAAATTACGTTAGACTATAAGGGGAGAGGGGCCCCCTTTAAGTCTTACGTAATTTGCAGGCTTTGTACTCGATAATAAATTTTTAAAAAGTAGCAAATTCATACAAGAAATGTAATTAAAATTGAATTAAAAATAATTATTACACTCTAAGAAACAAATTAAATCAAATTTTTTTAAATAATTGAATTTTCTCGAAGAATTAAATTTTTGTCCCCGAACTTTAATATAGTTTTTAAAATAATTACATTCTTGAGAAGAAGTTTTAAAAAATCTTTTTAAAGAAAATTTTTTTTTTAATTTTATGAAAATTGTGTTTTAAATAATTGAATTTCTTTGAAAATTGTATATTATATATGAAAATAATTGAATTCTTCAAAAAAAATCTTATTAAAATTATATTGAAAACATTTCAGAATTTCAGAATGAAAAGAATTTCATTAAAAATTTCTAAAATAATTGAATTCTTTCAAATCATTTTATTAAAATTTTTAAGAATAGTTGCATTTTTCGCACAATTTATTTAAAACTGTATTAAAAATAATTGGAATCCTGCGATGATTTTTAATATTTATAAAAATATAATTGAATTCTTGCAACGATTAATAATTGAATTCCTGAGAAGAATTTTATTATTTATAAAAATAATTGAATTCTGTCGAGGAATTTTATAAAAATCTTTTTAAAAAAATGATTTTTAGAAAAAAATTTTATGAAAAATTGTGTTTTAAATAATTGAATTTCTTTAAAAATTGTTTTATTATTTATGAAAATAATTGAATTCTTTCAAAAAAATATTTATTAAAATTATATTGAAAACAATTCAATTATTATAAAGAATTTCATTAAAATTATTTAAAATAGTTGAATTCTTTCAAATAATTGTATTAAAATTTTTAATAATAGTTGCATTTCTCGCGCAATTAATTTAAAATTGTATAAAAATAATTGAATTCTAGCAACGATTATTATTAAAATTAAAAAAAAATAATTGAATTCTTGCGAAGAATTTTATAAAAATCTATTTTAAATCATTGATTTTTTTTCAAAAAATATTAGGAAAATTCTGTTTTAAATAATTGAATTTCTGTGAAAATTTTTTTATTTATGAAAATAATTGAATGTTTCCGAAGAATTTTATAAACATTTGTTTTTGAATTATTCAATTCTTTTGGTAAATTTTTTATTAAAATAGCAGATATTAAAAATCATTGAATTGTGAAGAGATTTTGAAAATAATTGAATAGTTTTAAAGAATTTTCTTAAATTTTTTAAAAATTTTTCCAATAACTTTATTTAAATTTTTTAAAATCTTTTTTTTAATTCAACTGTTTTGTTTTGTTTTGTTTGTTTTTCAAGTCGTGCAAATTCTCAAACATGAAAAAAGTAGTTTTTAGTGTAACAAATAAAAAAAAGTATCCAAATAGTAGCAAATCGTAAAAAAGGTAGTAAATAGTAGTTTGTGGTGGTTTTATGAAATTTTAATTTCTTTTGTTCTAAGAGGACATCCAAAAATTATGTAAAGCCATAAGCATAGAGTTATTAGAATAGAGTGCGCGAGTTATACCTTTTACCGTGAGAGGCATTCTTAGGCGCATAGAAAGAGACAAAAGCATGAAAGTAGACCCCTTTTCTTACCTTGTTTATTGGCGCATGTGCAAGAATGAAAGTTTTTGGTTAGGTTTTTGTCTAAAAGATCGCATGAAAAATTGTTTTAAATATTATAAATGTTTTATTTTAATTTTAAATTTATTTTAAATTATTTATTTGTCATGTAAATAAAAGAAAAATATAATTGCAAGCAAGCAACAGTTGTTTCGATGCATCAGCTGTTTCACTATCGCGCATGCGTTATTAGAGAAAGAAAGGAAAGGGGTCTTCTTTTCGTATGGCTGTCTCCGTCTATGCGCCTAAGAAACATTTTGGTCGCTTGCGCACTCTATTCTAATAACTCTATGGCCATAAGGGAGCAGAGGGGGTTGTTTTCTATTTTTAAATTAATTTTTTTTGTTTTAAGGGGTCATCCATAAAGTACGTAAGGATACAAAGGGGGGATTGTTTTAAATTTTTATTTCTTTTGTTTTAAGGTTTCATCCATAAAGTACGTAAGGCTACAAGAAGGGGGAGGGGAGTCTACTTATCAATAGAAAAAAAGGCGCTAATGTAACCCCAAGGGTGGAAGGGGGGGGGGGTTAAAATCTCTAAAAATCACCTTACGTAATTTATGAATAGCCCCTAAATTGCTGGATATTTCTGACAAAGAATTTTCAAAATACGACATTCTCATAAGATTATATAGAATGTGTAAAAATGTTATAGAATATTTTAAAAATCAATTAAGTGGAAAGTTTAATGTATAAAAGCATAAAATTTGAAGAATCTTTACCTTGAGATTAACGTGATGATCATAGAAGGTCGGAGGTGTTAGCGCTGCTTTTAGCCTCCTATTTCTGTAGAAGATAAAGGTAATAGCAGTGAGTAACATAACGATGACGGTCGTCAATATTCCGATCACTAAGCCGATGAATTGCTTAGACTCTGGCTCCTTGCTTTTATCTGGAACTACGTGAATATATATTCTCCTTTATATTATATACGTATAAATTTTGAATAAGGTGATAAAGGATAGATTATGTACCTAGCTCATAAATATATAGTTTAAACGGATATGGTAATTTCACTATACGTACACCAACTATTATCTAAGACAATAGAAAATTTCACGTACAGTGAGGAAAATGATTATTATTATTATTATTATATATGAATTCGTCAAGTGCTTGTTGAAAATTTATTTTTTTATTGGATTTTATTAATTTTAAATTTCATACACGGAGGAGAGAGAGAGAGTGAGACAGGATGGGAAAAAAATATATCATTTATTCGTCTCACGTTTTCTTGTATATAATCTACTTAAAAATTTAAATAATAAATATTAATATAAATAATAAATATAAATAATAAAAACCGCTGCCAAGTTGTATGTTTTTTTTATAATTTTTGCGCTCATTCCATAAACTCTATGAGGAAGTAATATAAATAAATATTAATATAAATAATAAATATTAATAAATATTAATATAAATATTAAATATGGATAATAAGTAAATAGTTTATCATTGAATAGAATTCTTTCTGTATAGGTTAGAAAAATGATTCTTAAAACTTAAAATCATAGACAATAAAAATTTTTTTTAACCCCAGGGAGTAAAATGGGCCTTTTTGGCACTAGTTAGAAAAGTTTGTTAGTAAGCATAAGTTAGAAAAATGATTCTTTCCCCTGGGCTCGAACCAGAGAAAGTATTTAAAAATACTGACTTCATGGACCAAAAATGAAAAATTATTCGTAAATTCTTCAATTAAATAAAAAAAATAATAAATAAAATTAAATAAAAACTTAAAATAATATTAAAAAAATTGAATTAAACTTTTTCAAAAAAATTAATTTCAAAATTCAATTATTTTTAAAAATTCACGCTGTATTGCTTTTAAAATTCAATTATTATCTAAAATTTTATCTGAAATTCATTTTTATGAAATGAAAATCAATTTTTATTAGAAAATTCTACTAGAATTCGATTATTTAAATACAAAAATAAATAATTTATTGAATAATTGCATGTTTCTTCAAATTGAATTCTCATAAAGAATTTTATCTATAAATTTTTAAAGAACTAAATTCTTTTGACGAATTTTAATAAAATTTTTAACAATTTTTTCGAGGGATTCGAAAAAATAATTTAAATTCTGCAATGAGTTTTAATATTTATGACAATATTTAAATTCCTAAAAAGAATTTTATTATTTAAGAAAATAATTGAATCTCCGTAAAAATTTTATTATTTATGAAAATAATTCAATGATTGCGAAGAAATTTGTAAAAAAATTTGTAAATAATGAAATTCCTGTGGAATTTTTATTATTTTTTTGAAATTATTTAAAAGTTTGTGTAGAATTTTATTATTTTTTTTTAAATAATTGAATTCTTTTGGAAAATTTTATTAGAATAGTAGATACCTATTAAAAATCATTGAATTGAAGAATATTTTTAAAAATAATTGAAATTTTGCCAAGAATTTTATTAAAATTTTTGAAAATAATTCAATTTCGGAGGAAGAATTTAATTATTTCTGAAGATAATTGAAATTTTGACGAGAATTTTCAAAAATGGTAAATGTAAAATGCCCTAAAAGAAAAAAAACAATTTTATTACGAAGGGTTTTTTAATCCTAGGGAATAAACTCGTTTTTCTAACCCCAGGGAGTAAAATAAGCCTTTTTGACACTATGGCACAAGATAAAATTCGGTGCAATAGAATTGTATTTTTTGAATTGAATCAATTCAATTCGAGTCCTAATAAAAGAAAACAAGAAAAGTTTCTTCCCAAGATTTGATGACAAAATTACAAAATATAAACAGTTCAATATATTTATTCTAAAAAAAATAGTTGAACAAAGAGGTTTTTTAACTTTCGTCAGTTTATGGTATATACTATTTATTAACAAGCTTGAGTGGTACTTATAAATAAAGTTTGACGTTTCAAAGCGTAAAGTAAATATTATACTTATTTCGTTTCTTGTTATTTCATAAAAGTTTTTTTCCCCTTTATTTTCAATTTTTTTTTTTTTACCTTTCGAACTGTCGAAGTCGTAACGATGTCAAGAAAGAGGGGAAAAAAATGAAAAGAAAAGCGAGGTAGTAAAATTCCCGAGTTACTTTTTTCCAACATAATTACAGCGTCATATCATTGTGAAAATGTTATTTCAGAAATACACACGACTCCCTTCTTTCATTTTTCCTTGGCATTTTCATAATCTCCCTCTCTTTCTCTCTCTCTCTCTCTCTTTCTGTCTTTTGTAATAATTATAATCAGGAATGCTGTCATAGACTTTTTGTCATTTTTTCTACTTTAAATTATTTGTTTTTTCCTTTTTTCTCTTTTTATTATTTTTTTTTTTTTGCATAGTTTTGAAATGAAATTTAAATACACGCTCTTCAGCGTCGTTCATGAATTTGAAAAAAAGATGCACATTTAAATTTCACCGAAATATGCTGACATGAATAAAGAATATTTGCGCAAACAATAAAAATTTTTTGTTTTTTGGAAAATTTTCTTGTTTTAATTAACAATTTATTGACATTTTGCGGTTTTTATTATTACTCTCTAAGTTTGAATTAGTAAAAAAGTTTACTAAATTTGTTGAATTAGTAAATTTTACTAATAAATAAAATTAAATAGATTACTATTAATTTCTACTAATTTATTAGTGAAATTTGCTAATTCAAAAGCAAAAAGTCAATGACTAATTCAAAGTAGTAAACATTTTAATTAATTTAAATTTTGAGTCTATATAAAAACTATAATCAATTGTGAACAAAAATTTCAAAATGGAAAAAAGTGAAAATTTATAACTTAAAATGTAACTTACAAGAATTGATGTTGTTGTTGTTTTTATTGAATATTGCTTTCACCTCGTCCCTTTGTAGTGGACCCTCATTGTTCTGATAAGGACTTCCGGTGGATAATACAGTTGTGCTTTTGTTTTTCAAATCCTCATCATCTGTATTGTTCCATTCGAAAATAACTGCAAAACGATAGAAAATTGATATCTTATTACGAATTTTTAATTTATATGAACAATTAATAATTTGCATTCCAATAATATTTAAAAATAATCTTTAAAAATTACAGTCAGTAATAATATTTAAAAATATTCTCTAAAAATAATATTTCGTAATAATATTTAAAAATAATTAACATTATTTCTATTTCTAACTCAGTTCAACTATTTTTTAATATAAAAAACCAAGTGGTGAATTTTTATTATTTTTTCCTGATCCCCAGAAAATATTTTCAATGCGAGATACTAACCCAGAAATTCCCCAGAGAGAGAGAGAATGTAAAAATGGAAACCGATGTCGTGAAATTCTTTCGAAAGTAACTCACGCCAAGAATCTATGTTTTTCAGATTGTACAAACAGAATATAAGCTATTGAGTCACACGTTAAAGCTTCCCGTGTCTGATAAAAGAAAGGGCGGAAAAAAAATGATTTTCAAATACTTTTATCTTTGCTTGTTTCTGTTTTTATTGTGAAACAATAATAATTTATTGATTTTTTCTTCAGTTAAAGTATATTGCATTTTAAAAGATAATTTCTCCACTATTTTTTTTTTTATATAAAACCGAGATTTATGTAACATTCACTTGGTCGATTTTGTACTTTGGCGTTATTTTTTTTTTATCTGTGCTACGGTTCACTGGAGCATTTCAGAACTAGCGCAAAAGCGATATAGAGAACAATCAGCTTATAATTGTGATCAAGTTTGTAAGAGATGTATTTTTTTGTAATTAATATTTTTTTTCTGCTTTGATATTATAATAGCGTATTTTTTTCTTATGTAATAATTTTCAGAGTTGTACACGGAAAAGAATGTTTACCTGGCGTAGCTACAAATTTCACCAGATTACTTAACTTTTTAGTTGTTTTAGTTAAGTCTTTCGCTATTCTAGAGAAACTTATCGCTGTTCCAGATAAAAATCTTTTTCCATGTAATTTTCCATGTAATTTTCCTTGATTTTTCCTTAATTTCCAGACAAAGTTTCGACTTTCCCCCTGACTCCATAGCCGATAATCAGCAGAAGATGAAAAATTATTTTTTGAGCGAACTTTATCTTGTGTTTACTAACAATTGTTAGTCAGAAAATTTTTTACTGGTCCTAAACTATTGCTAGAACAATTCCAATTAATATCTGCAGGGCTCGAAGCAGTGAAAGTATTTAAAAATACGGATTTTACGGACCAAAAATTAAAAATTACGGACCATTTACGGACCAACTGACAAAAATAGAATCAGGCCGAATCAAAAAAGAGAACATTTTACTTAAAACTAGAAATTCAATTTTTTATAATAATTAATAATAATTATTACTAAAAATAATTTATAATAATTAAAATCATTATCAATTCAATTATTATTTTTAAGAATTTTTTTACCTAAAATTCTTCTTTATATCGATTATTTTTAATAATTTTCGAAAAAGTTCTTTGACAATTTTCAAATTCATTTCTTTACAATATTCAATTTATGAAATTTCAATTATTCATAAATTCTTTAATTAAATAAATATTAGAAAATAGAAACTAAAACTATCTAATATTTAAAAAAATCAATTAAACTTTTTCAAAAAAAATTAATTACAAAAATCAATTATTTGTAAAATTCACGCTCTATTGCATTTAATATTCAATTATTATCTAAAATTTTATCTAAAATTCATTTTTTTGAAATGAAAATCAATTTTTATTAGAAAATTCTACTAGAATTCAATTATTTAAATACAAATAAAATGCAAATAAATAATTTATTGAAGAATTGAAAGTTTCTTAAAATTCAATTCCCATAAAAAATCGTTATCAACAAATTTTCAAATAATTGCATTCTATCAACGAATTTTAATGAAATTTTTAAGAATAATTACATTTCTCGAGAAAAATAATTGAATAATTGAAAAAAAATTGAATAATTGAAATTCTGCATTGAATTTGATTATTTATGAAAATAATTGAATCCTTGCGAAGAATTTTATTAAAATTTTCAAAAATAATTAAATTCTTGTAAGAAAATTAACAGGAATTCAAATTATTTTAAAAAATTTTAATAAAATTCTTGGCATAAATTAAAAATAACGAAATTCTTAGCAGATCTTCAATTACATTCAGAAATTTTAATAAAATTTTTCTCAAGAATTTAAATATTTTCGTAAAATAATAAAAATCTTTGCAGAGATTCAATTATTTTCAAAAGTCTTAATAAAATTCTTCGCAAGAATTCAATTATTTTCAAAAATATCAGAATTTTAGCAGAAATTCAAACATTTTAAAAAGTTTTGATAAAACTTTTTTTGGTAGAAATTCAATTATTTTTAATTATTTTTAATTGAAATTTTGACGAGAATTGTTAAAAATTTTTGAACATAATTGAATTCGTGTGATAAATATTGTTAATTATGAAAATAATTGAAATTTTGTAATGAATTTTAATAAAATTTTTGAAAATAATTGAATTTTGTCGTAGAATTTTGCTATTTATTTATAAAGATAATTGGAATGTTCACAATTTTTTTTAGATTTTTTGAATATACCCAGGTGCGAATTTTGGTCGGCCGCCAGAGTTGGAAGGTCGGGCGCAGGTCGGCCCATCTATGGCTGCCAATAGGTCGGCAGCCAAAGTCGGGCCGACTTTGGTTACTGTTTCCACCCAAGTTTGGGCCGACTATGGGTGCCAAAGTTTAGAGAACCTAATTTTAGTTGGTCGGGCCGACTCTGGCCTCAGTCGGGCCGATGGTCGGTAAAACTATGGCAGCCAGAGTTTAGAGAACCTAATTTTAGTTGGTCGGGCCGACTTTGGCCTGAGTCGGGCCGATGGTCGGTAAAACTGTGGCAGCCAGAGTTTAAAAAGGTTAATTTCTGTTGGTCGGGCCGACTTTGGCCTGAGTCGGGCCGATGGTCGGTAAAACTATGGCAGCCAGAGTTTAGAGAACCTAATTTTAGTTGGTCGGGCCGACTTTGGCCTGAGTCGGGCCGATGGTCGGTAAAACTGTGGCAGCCAGAGTTTAAAAAGGTTAATTTCTGTTGGTCGGGCCGACTTTGGCCTGAGTCGGGCCGATGGTGGGTTAAACTATGGCAGCCAGAGTGCAAAAAACCTAATTTCACTTGGTCGGGCCGACTTTGGCCTGAGTCGGGCCGATGGTCGGTAAAACTATGGCAGCCAGAGTTTAGAGAACCTAATTTTAGTTGGTCGGGCCGACTTTGGCCTGAGTCGGGCCGATGGTCGGTAAAACTATGGCAACCAGAGTTTAGAGAACCTAATTTTAGTTGGTCGGGCCGACTTTGGCCTGAGTCGGGCCGACGGTCGGTAAAACTATGGCAGCCAGAGTTTAAAAAACCTAATTTCAATTGGTCGGGCCGACTCTGGCCTGAGTCGGGCCGATGGTCGGTAAAACTATGGCAGCCAGAGTGCAAAAAACCTAATTTCACTTGGTCGGGCCGACTTTGGCCAGAGTCGGGCCGATGGTCAGTTTGAAGTTGCAGCTTATAAAATCATTTTTGTTCTTAGGCTTTCATGTAAGCGTAGCGTAATGGTTAGCGTGTTAGACTTCGGTGCGTTAGGTTGCGAGTTCGATTCCTGCGAGCGTTAGAAATTTTAATTTGTATTTATGTGTAAGATTGCGTTTAGTGTTAAGATGTATACAATAAACAAATAAATAATGAATAATAATAATTAATAATAATAATAAATAATTAATAATTTTTTGCAATCGGTCGGCCGACTTTTGGCTGCCAAGGTCGGCACGACCAAGGTTGCCAAAGTGAATCCGACCTTCTTTCTCATGGTCGGCCCGACTTTGGCAACCATAGTCGGCACGACCATGTCAGCCACTGGACGGCGGGTGTTACAATTCGCTAGTTCGGCCGACCTTTGGCTGCCAAGGTCGGCACGACCATGGTTGCCAAAGTCAAGCCGACATTCTTTCACATGGTTGGCAAAACTTTGGCACCCCTGGTCGGTCCGACTTTGGCAGCCATAGTCGGCCCGACCATGTCAGCCACTGGACGGCGGGTGTTACAATTCGCTAGTTCGGCCGACCTTTGGTTGCCAAGGTCGGCACGACTATCCACTTGGTCGGCGCGACCATGGCCCGACCAACTTTTCGCACCTGGGTAATTGAATTTCAGAGAAAAATTTTAATATTTCTAAAGATAATTGAAATTTTTACGAGAATTGTTAAAAATTTTTGAACATAATTGAATTCGTGTGATAAATATTGTTAATTATGAAAATAATTGAAATTTTGTAATGAATTTTAATAAAATTTTTGAAAATAATTGAATTTCTAAGAAGAATTTTAATATTTCTAAAGATAATAATTGAAATTTTGACGAGAATTTAAAAAAAATTTTGAACATAATTGAATTTTTGCGAAGAATTTTATTATTTTTAAAATATTTGAATTTCTGCAATCATTTGTAATTTCTCTAAAATTCTTAAAATTATATCGTACAATTTACGAACTTTTCATCCTTTTTGAATGAAATTACGGACTTTACGGACCTTTTTTTCAAAAAACGGACTTTTACGGGATTTACGGACCTACTTCGAGCCCTGTATCTGGGTTATCATATTAATTTAATTCACAATTCATAAAAAGTAACCACAGCCGATAAACAGCAGAAGATGAAAAATAATTTTTTGAGCGAACTTTATGTTTTGTTTACTAACAGTTGTTAATAAAAAAAATTATTTACTGTTCCTAAATAATGGTTAGTGCATAAATTTTAACACACTCTTGGTGCTATTTTAACACCAAATGTAGAAAATAAAATCTCACCGTGTCGGTTAAAAATGTTGCCTATAGTATTTTTTTCTGTGTAAGTAATAATTTTATGAAAATTCTTCAAGAACTAAGTTATTTAAAATATTCTCAGGAATAGAAAAAATTGAAAGTTTTATATTAGAATTTGTTGTAATTTCATAGTTTATGAGGCAAACAAAAAAAGATTCAAAAATTCAGAATTTTCTTATGAATTCTAAAAATTTAATTTCTTTCCAGTACTTTTCATAAAAATTCCTAACTTTTCCAGACCAATTCTACTTTCCCTAACTTCCCTAACTTCCAACTCTGAAGAAGAATACTGAAATTTTTATCAGAATTTCTAAAATTGTTTGTTGTATATTTGAACCTTAGTATCTTTTAATAATCTCGATGACTTGATCAATATTTGACCGTAGGTCAGTTGATTATATTTGGAAAATTTTCCTTATTTAGATAGATTCATTCTAGGTGTATAACAATTTATTTTAAGCAAATTTAATCAAAGTTGGGTAAAAATAATAATAATAATAATAATAATTAAAAATTATATTTTCAAATTTATCGATTTTCTTTTCTTTTTCTGGTGAGAGAAGAAAGAAACTTTTGATGGTATGGGTTTTATATTGAGTACTTGACAGTAGATTTGACTCGGAAAATTGATCTACTTGTCATGTTGACATTGGTCGTTGATTATATATACCCTTAAGTTTATAAGAAAGCCTTCGCGACGTTTACTTAGGAGTGTGTACAGTAATAAATCATACGGTTCTCATATCAAGATTCTCGTCAAAGTTTTCAGAAAATAATTGAGAAATTTTCCCTTACCAGATTCAAAGACGACTTCACTCAACATTATCCAACGTGCCGCAAAGTAAAGTTGCAATTTTAAGAAACGACCAGCTCTTGAATGGAGTTTAATGGTAACGTCTCGTGCTTGCTCCAATACTAAATCAGGCATGTACGAAAACTGAACTGGTTCACCTGTGAATTGACTGCCTTCCCCGCTCAAGTACACTTTTGCATGCGAGAAAACCTAAAATGAGTTACAAATCACAATATTCTATTTAGAAATGTTTTTTTTTTCGTTTCGGTTAAAAATAGGAATTTTTCTTTAAAAAGTTTGCAATTTATTCGAAAGGAGGTGAATTTTATTTTTAGAAAGAGCTCGAAATACTGTAAAAGGAAGTGTTTCGTTATTCATAGTTAAATTATTAATTAAGGCAAAAAAAAATTCTTTTTTATCTTGTCCTGATTAATAATTTTTATTTAATTATTTCTGACTTTTAAGAATTATTAAAAATTATAATAATAGTAAAAGTAATAATAAAAATTAATTTAAAAAATTCTGTTTGCTTTGAAAGGTAAAGGAAGTGAGGACAATGTGCGCCTGCGCAACCGGTATAGAAGCGGAGTGGGGACAGTTAGAGCGAGAGAGACAAACGGAAACTTCTCACTCGCTCTCGTTATCCCCACTCTGCAACTCACTCTACGCTCCGCCTCTAGTTCCAAGAATACCCTCGACTTCCAAGTAATAATTATTTTTCCCGCTTTTTTCTTCTTTATTTTTTTCCTAGGCAGGAAAATTATTAATTAAATTAAAATATTCTTAATTACCTGAACGTCCTTAGTGAAGAAATTATTCGTATGAAGGTGCATCGACGTGAAATTTCTGACACAATCAAACTCAAAAGTTATTTCCACAGGCTTTTCGAGAACATTCCAGGTGTCGTTTCTCCAACCGATCCATTCATAACCTATAACAAAAATGGATCTGGTAAAAATATTTTTATTGAAAAATAGTTTCACTAAATTGTTTTTATTGAAATTACTTTTATTAAATTCTTTTACTACGTATTTCTTATAAAATATTTTTATTAAATATTTGGCCTGTATTCTCGTTTTATTATTTTTTATATTTTTTTACTAGTCAGTGTTTATTTTTTTAATATTCTTTTACTAGCCGTCGTGTTTTGGGTATATAAATTAATATTCGGGTGAAATAAACTTTTTTTTGAAGTTTCACTTGTTAATAAATGAAAATGATGAGAATGTAAAAAATATTGTAAATTACATAATTTGAAAGCAATGTTTTCTTTTTTCTTGTCGCTCAGTTAATAGAAATTATATCGAGTCATTCATTTCAGTATTAACTTTTAGGGGCTTTGGCTTTCACGATATCATTTTACTCCCCATCTACTTTCATATATAAACCTTCCTTTACATCGTACCTCGAGTAAATAGTTATCAGTTTCGGCTGGTATCCGCCATTACTTGGAGTTCTGCAGACATTCCTTAAGATAACCACTTAATAGTCGCCATTATATAGCTACTATCATTATGGGTAATTTTACCTCCTTATCGTTACCAATTGAATTTACCCACATAAATTTCATTTCCCACCCTCTCTCCCAATCTTTTTTTGCCTAAAAAGAAAAAAATTCCGTTTAAATGAATTTAGTTCTATTGGAAAATATTCTTCATCATAAAAATCCAATATAGTTTCAATATTTCCATATGAAACAGTTTTCATTTCAAATGCTTCCAATAGTTTTATTTAGATTCTCTTTTTTTGGGGAAGTTCAATTTTTTCTGCCCATAGCAATTTTCTAATTTGACACTAAATATTAATTTAATAGAAAAAATCGTCTATTTCAGGAATTGAAAAAAGTGTCAAAATAGTGCGAAAACATAATTTTATATTTTAATTCGGGAATTTTGGTTTTAACAAATTTGGAAACTCCAAGTTAGGAAACTTGGATCGATGAACCAATTTTCCTTCTCTCAACAGACTTTCTCTATATTTGGTGGTAAATTTACTATAATTACTTGTCAAGTTTGGATTATATGGAAACATTAGGAATCGACAGGGTGATCATGTTTGTTATAAAATTAAAATTTCCACCCACAGTGGAATTTGGAAAATAATAATAATATCGCGTCTTTTAGTTGCTATTCTAGAGGTTTAGTTTTTTTTTTTTTTTTTTTTTTTGCCTCACAATTGAGGGAAGATTAAATGCTGTCAGTGTCATTTTTAGTTATATTATTCATTTTCCATCTTTTGCTTTAGTTGGAATTTCAAATTAGAAAGTGCAAGCAGCAGGGTACATTGAAAAACACATGCGCTGCCAGTAAGGCACACCAAAATATCCACTTGAAATGGGAAAGACACAAATGTATCTGGAGAACGAGTAAACAGAGCAACTTCGCTCAGCTTGTGGTTCAATATAAATGTAAATTGAAACAGATTCGAGTGCAACGAGCCTGTTCTCTACCCACCACCAACACTGGATTCTAGTTCCTTTAGTATTTTCCACAACAGCCTACTTTGCAATAGGTTTAGCAATATTGCCTTGTGGATGACGAACTTAGATAGAAAATGCTCCCACATTTTCAATTCCAAGGAGTCTTCTCTTTTATTAATATAAAAAGACTTTTTCAAAAACTATTTTAATAGCAGATTTTTTAATAAAAAGAAAAATATTTTTTCAAAAACTATTTTATTAGCAGATTTTTTAATAAAAAAAATATATTTTTCGAAAAAGTATACTTTATATTTTACTTATTATAGTTTTTGACTGAATTATTTCTTAATCAAGAGTACCAAAAGAGAAAAGGAATAGACCCTCATTATATATTACAGACTTCGCACTCGATAATTAATTTTAAAAAAGTAGCAAAAAATAGCCTTCAAACTAAAAAAAGTAGTAAAAAGTAGCTATTGAAAAATTAAACTTGACAACCGAAAAAACTCGTTTTATACACTTGACAAAACTGACAAAAATTCCATTCTATATTTTATTTTCCTGACTTTTTCCCAATTTTTATCAAAAATATTTACTTTTTTCATATCCTGCTAATAAATTGAACTCCTGCCACGAATTTTATTATTAATGAAAGAATTTAAATATTTATAAAAATAATTTAATTCTTGCAAAGAATTTTATACAAATTTTTAAATAATTGATTTCTTACGACTAATTTTATGCAAATTCTAATTTAAATAATTGAATTCCACAGAAATTTTTATTATTCATGAAAAAAATTGTATTCTTACGAAGAGTTTTTCAAAAAATTTGTAAATAATAGAATTCTGTTTAGAAATTTTATGAAAATAGTAGATGTCGAAAATCACTGAATTGAGAAAAGTTTTTACCAGGTTTTTACAAATAATAAAATTTTACAAAGAATTCATAATTAAAATTTTTGCCAATAATTGAATTCTTGCGAACGATTTTATTAGAATTTTTTAAAATAATTCAATTTCCAAGAAGAAATTGATTACATTTAAAAATAATTGAATTCTTGTGATGAATATTATTATTTATGAAAATAATTGAATTTTTCAAAGCATTTTATTAAAGTGCCTCAAAATAATTGAATTTTCGGGAATAATTTTGTTATTTATCGACATAATTGAATTCTTTCGAAGAATTATTGATGTAAATAATTTAATTCTAATTACAATTGATTTCTTTCGAACAATTCTATTAAAATTTTTGAAAATAATTGAATTTCCCCAAACAATTTAAAAAAAACATTTTTTTTAAATAATTGTTTTTTCGAGGAATTGAAATTAAATTTTTAAGAATAATTACATTTTTTAAACAATTCCTGTAAAATTGTATTAAAAATAATTTAAATCCTGCGATGAGTTTCATTATTTATGAAAATATTTGAATATTTGCTAAGAATTTTATTTACATTTTCAAAAATAATTGAATTCCTAAAAAGCAACTTATTATTTATGAAAATAATTGAATTCTTGAGAACGATTTTATTAGAATTTTTTAAAATAATTGAATTTTCAAGAAAAAATTGATTACTTTAAAAAATAATTGAATTCTTGTGATGAATATTGTAATTATTTAAAATAATTGAATTTTGCAATGAATTTTATTAAAATTCCTCAAAATAATTGAATTTTCCGGAATAATTTGTTATTTATCGACATAATTGAATTCTTTCGAAGAATTATTTTTGTAAATAATTGAATTCGTCTAAAGAATTTTAAAAAAACATTTTTTTAAATAATTAATTTTTTCGAGGAATTGAAATTAAATTTTTAAAAATAATTACATTTTTTTATCAATTCCTGTAAAATTGCATTAAAAATAATTGAAATCCTGTGATGAATTTTATGATTTATAAAAATAATTGAATAGTTGCAAAGAATTTTATTAAAATTTTCAAAAATAATTGAATTCCTGAGAAGAATTTTGTTAGGTATTTATATGGAAATAATTAAATTATTGCGAAAAATTTTATTAAAATGTTTAAAAAGAATTGAATTCCCGTGAAAAATTTTATTATTAGTGAAAGTAATTGAATTATTGTAAAGAATTGTATATAAAAATTTTGTTGAATAATTGATTTTTTCAAAATTGTTTCGAAATTGCTATTCTAAAATAATTAAATTCCCGTGGAAATTATTATTATATATATATGAAAATAATTGAATTTTGGATTAATTATATCAATTTTTTTTCAATAATTGAATTCTTTTGCGAAATATTTTATAAAAATACTAGACATTGAAAATAATTGAATTTCGAATATTTTTTGAAAATAATTGAATCAAATTATCTATGTAATATGTAAATAATTAAATTCTTGGAAAGAATTTTATTAAAATCTAAAAGAATAATTGAATTATTTCAAAAAAATGTAATTAAAATTGTATTTAAAATAATTGATTATTTTATTTCGAACAATTTTATTAAAATTTTTTTAAAAATAATTGAATTCTTGTTTAGAATTTTAGCAAAAATTTTTTTAAAAAATTGAATTTCCATGAAAAATTTTATTATAAAATAATTATAATTGAATTTTTCATGAATTGTATTATTTTTTTTTTAAATAATTGAATTCCATTGCGAAATTTTATAAAAATACTAGATATTGAAAATAATTGAATTTCGAATATTTTTTGAAAATAATTGAATCGTTTTAAAGAATTTGATTATAATTTTTGACAATAGTTTTTTTGATTTCTAGTATTAGCGAATTTAAAGTAGTGTAAATTCTCAAAAAAACAGAAATAGTAACTTTTAGTGTCTGAAATTTAAAAATAGTACCCAAATAGTCAGATTTTCAAAATCCAAAATGGCGGATCCAAGATGGCGGACATTTTTCTAAATAGTTTTTTATGACCCTAGATACCTAGAGGTTATAAAAATCTATGATTACTAATCTGAAGTCAGATTAGTGATTTACCAAGAAACAAAATCAAAAGTAGTTCTTGTTTACTAAAAAAAAGGCAATTTTTAAATTGAAAAGAATAATTTTGCTTGAATAAAATTTTTTTCTGCCTCAAAGTAGTTGGAGGCCTTATAGTAATTGGCCAAACTAGTTTTTTTTAAATTGACAGGAAGTTAGGAATATATATGTATATAGAGAGAGAGAGAAATCGTAAGGAAACTTGGAATCACACTCAGTGCAATGTTACCTTTCCCATTACCGTTGACATCGAGTCTAAAGTTATCTGGACCTTTTTGCCCATCCACCAATTGACCCAGACCACCAGAAAGGTATCCAGCATCTTCTTGACCATCGTACGTTCTGTCGGTGAGGTCGACTTCGGAACCTCTCTGAATTCCTTGAGGCATCGAGTACGAAACTAGTCCCTCTGAAATCAAATTATATATCAAACTCGGTATCAAATTCCTCTCCTCTCCTTTCCGCCGACTTGTATCGGTCAGTTTATTTTTCTTTCAACTTTACGATAAGAACCCTTATATACAATATTATATATCGTCTTGAAAAATTTTTCTCTTAAAATTACTTTTTTGATTTAACATTAATTTTCCAATATATAGTAGAAATAAAATAAAACAATTTTACAATATAGATACTTTGAAACATTGGCCAACAACTAAAAGATTATCAAAAATCTAAGATAATACAATTTTATAATTAATAATTTATTTATTTATTTATTCAGTTCAAAGAGTGCGATGACCACTAAAATTTGTAAAAATCAAAATTCTTTTTCATTTTTCACTTGAATGGATAATATTTAATATTTTATTTAATCAATAATCCAATGATTCAATTAGAAGAAATGAATATTCAACTTTGTACGGTAATATAAAATGGACAATTCGTTAATTTTTCACTGACGGTTATAAATTGACAGTTTAGAGAAATGAATTATAAGATTTTTTTTCGCCATCCCTCCTCTTTTTTGCAGAAAGTTAATCAAATATACATCTTCCTACTTCACGCTGCTTTTCTGCAGATTTGTTCGCAAAAGGGATGTCATGGATTATTCAGAATGAAGAGAAGATTTATCAGAGAGGGAATCGTAATACGATTTCAGAAACCGCGATACTTTATCTAATTACATTCAAATTCTGAACAAAACCAAGAATTAATTTTAAATATTCATGACAAAACTTCTTGTTACCGGCGGGATTTTAGTTGTATGACTGAGGAGTTATAATAAAAAAAAAAACCTCCCATAGAATTTATCTCTCTGACAATTGAATTACACTCGATATTTAATGTTTTGTCTCAAATTTTAATAACTGAATTTAAAAACTCAAAATCAAACAAAAACTCAGATGAGTTGAGAAAAATGATTTATTTAACTTTTTCTCAATTTCAGGCATCATAGTACCTTCTTTCCTCAAAAAAGGTGAAAAGGGGCATTTTTCTCCTCAAAAAGGGGACAAAAATTTATTTGTTTATACAACTTGCATAATATAATTCAAATTTTTTATCATATAGCTTTTATAAAATTTTTTAAAAATGATTCGATTTTAATCCGAGTTGTCACAAAAAATTAATTTTGTTTTTTCATGACTTTTCCCTGATTTCCAGAGACAAAATTTTGACTTTTTCCCTAAAGAATATTCAGCGATTCACTCTAAAAATAATTAGATACTCAAAAAAATGTTCTAGTATATTTATTTACGAATTTATTTAACTGTAAAATTATTCGAAAACAGTAATAACTTCTATTTTAAAAAAAATATTTAATCATTATTGTTTTTCCATAGGAATTAATATTTTCAAAACATTTAAATTCAAATCTTTTTGAAATTCAACAATTTATGAGAATATTATTATAAAACATGAAGATATGAATCACTCCGAGTCTTCGACTCGGAGTAATTCCTATCTTCATGTTTTATAAAAATTTAGATTTCCATAAAATTTTTCAAAAAAAAAATTAATTATTTACAAAAATTATAATAAAATTCGTTGCAAGAATTCAATTATTTTCATAAATAATAAAATTCTTCACATGGTTTCAATTATTTTTAATACAATTTTAAATAAATTTCTCGAAAAATGAAATTATCCTCAAAAATTGTTTGCAAGAATTAAATTAGGTACATTTCACAAATACTGAAATTCATCGCTGAAATCCAAAAATTTCAAAATTTACTATTTTAATAAAAGTTCTCAAAAGAATTTAGTTATTTAAATAAAATGTAATAGAATTCGTTGCTTGAATTCAATTATTTTAACAAGTAATATAATTTTTCACATGAATACAATTATTTAAAAAAAAATTTGATAAAATTCGTTATAAGAATTCCATTATTTTTAATAAATTATAAAATTTTTCTGAGGATTTCAATTATTTTTAATACAATTTAAAATAAAATCCTAGAAAAATGGAATATTTTTACTGTAACATTTTCAAAATTATTTTCATCATTTCAATTTAGTTATTATTTTCTAAAATTTTTAACTAAAATTCTTCTTTAAGGGCATTTGAACCTTGATGACGTTTCAGTTTGTGCAAAGCATGTGTGACGTCATCAAGTTTCAAATGCCCTTAAATCAATTATTTACAATAATTTAAAAAAAACTGAAATTCACTTTTAAATCAATTTCTATTAGAAAATGCTACGAGAAACCAATTATTTAAATAGAAAAATAAATAATTTATTTAATAATTAAATATTTCTAAAAATTGAATTCCCATATAAAGAATTTTATCAACAAATTTTTAAATAATTAAATTCTTTCGACGAATTTAAATAAAATTTTTGAAAATAATTACATTTTTCGAGGTATTCAATTAAAATTGTACTATAAATAATTGAAATTCTGCGATGAGTTTGATTATTTATGATAATAATGAAATTATTGCGAAGAAATTTATAAAAAAATTTGTAAATAATAGAATTCCTGTAAAATTATTTTATTATTTATGAAAAAAATTTAACGTTTGCGTAGAATTTTAATAAATTTTTTTTTAAATAATCAAATTCTTTTGGATAATTTTATTAAAATAGTAGATATTGAATATCATAGAATTTAGGAAAATTTTTGAAATTTCAAATAATTGAAATTTTGACAAGAATTTCAATAAAATTTTTGAAAATAATTTTATTACGAAGAAAAATTTTATTATTTATATAAAAAGAATTGAAATTTGAAGAGAATTTCTTTAAATTTTTTAATATAATTTAATTTCTGCGAAGAATTTTATTACCCCAGGCGGAAAAGTCGGACGAATGTCGGAATTTACAACCGGCTGGGATCCGCGCCCGTACAGACCGCAAGTACCGACGGTCTGTACCGATTCGGATCTGAAAAAGCAACCGGCGCGGTACAGATTATGCTCCGACTGTCGGATCCGTCTTCCCACTATTGTCAGTACCGGCTCGGTACTGGATTTCTTCCGCCGGCGGATCTTATTCTTCTGCGGCGTCGGAAGAATGACGGATATGTTAAGTCTGTACTGGCTCGGTGCTGGGCCGGATCCGACTGCGGATGTCGTCATTTATTGTCACATTATAAATCACATTATAAATTTATTTTTAATAAATGTGTCATAACTAAATAATTATTACAATAATTAATTGCATTATTTTAGAAAATAATGATTAATTAATAAATGAATTTAATCAAAATATTAAGTAATTATTTATTAAGAGTTTTTTCAAAATTAAACAATTAAAAAAATTTGTTTTGCACTTATAGTTTATAATTATTATAAATAAATTTATACTATTAATATAAATTTATTATTATTGAGATATTATTAATTAATATTATTGAGAATTAATAATAAATTATTAATATTAATAAATATTAATATTCATGTTAATAATTTATTATTAATTCTCAATAATATTAATGTTAATTAATAATATCTCAATAATAATAAATTTATTATTATTGTGATATTAATTAAAATTATTAATATTATTATGTTCAATATTATTATATTGAGATACAATTATTTAATATATTACATAATAATAAAAATATAGCTGTAGCATTGACGCGTAGTTATTCGACAAGTTTCATTTCAGCTTGTGACACTTGAGAGTATTTAAGATTTGAGAGTCCCATGCGAGCGTAGCATAGTGGTTAGCGTGCGAGATTTCGGTGCGTAAATATTCGGTTAGGCGTAGGTTCGTACCTCCAAGCGTTAGGATTTTTCAAATGTGTATGTAATAAAAAATTGCGTTTAAGTATATAAAAAAATAAAAAAAATGTGTAAAGTGAACTGTCAATGAATTGTCATCAGTATTTATCTTTTGCAATTAATTATTATTTTTTTATTGATATTTGTTGAAATTATCATTTGGATCCGATCCGGTTGTCAGTCGGTAGAATGCCAGCGCTCGGCTGGCTATTAAATGAAAAATCCACGGTCGGTAGAGTGCCAGGTCCCAGCCGGTTGAATTATACACGGAACGGCTTCTCCCGGCCGGTCAGCGGGCTGTAGAATGCCAGTTCCGAGCCGGTTGCCAGCGCGCTCCTGGCCTAGTCACTATTCGGTAGAATGCCCGTTCACATTCGGTTGGCAGGCGGTTCCCAGCCAGTACAGTTACACCGGCGTCAGTACGGGCTAGGATCCGCGCCGGTTGGAAATTTCCGCCTGGGACTTTTGAAAATAATTGAATTTTCGCAATCATTTGTAACTTCTCCAAATTAAATTTTTTTTTTATTGTTTTTAACTAAAATTTCTCGTTAATTTCTTTATTTTTAATAATTATTTAAATATATGTATTAGAAATGTAATTAATTTCAGAATAATTTAAATTTTGCAAATTTTTGCAAAAATTTAAGTTCTTTAGAATTGTAAATGAAATTCATTCAAAATTGAAATTGAGGCTCCGGAACTTAAAAGGGCACTTTCAACATTTAAAATCAATTATTGTCAGAAATGGAAAAAATTGAAGGTTTTGTATTAGAATTTTTGTTTTTCTAGAAAAAACTATTAATAATAAATTAATAATATTTTAATTATTTGAATGTTAATTTTTTTTTCTAAAGGTCTACATTCTGCTGAACGAACCACCTAATAATTTATAAAATTCTTTACGAAATCTATATTATATATTAACATAAAAAGACATATTTATATTATGTTGTGGTGTTAATATTCAAAATCAAAAATAAAACTCACTGAAATAACATTAAGTGAAAATTTTATGATTACACTTTGAAAAAGATTTCGAAAAAAGAAAAACTAGTTTATTTTTTAAAAAGGGGACAAATCAGCAAAAAAGGTGATAAAATTGAAAAAAGGGGATAAAAGGGGACCAACTGTGATGCCTGCAATTTGTATTTTAAAAAATGATTGTTATCGTTGATTAAAAAATTGACTTTCAGAGAAAGAAGGAGGGGAAAAGTAAATTTGATCATGAAATT